AAAGTGTGTCATATGCCTGTAGATAGAAACTTAATTTCGTCTTTATGCATGGATGATAACGTCACTACCATGTCATATGCTGTATTACTGTGTTCAGCTTGCGAGTGTATTTATTTTCAGCATAGTTAATCGTCCTTTATGGCGTTCTGCCCTTTAAATTCTATAGGCCGGTGCCGAAGAGCAAACTCCACATGACTCGAATTCACCAAAATGTATTAGGCCATACAATTCTTTTTTCTATTTATGCATATCGATGCATCCCTTTGTTAGTTCAATAGAGCTCAAACAGCTCAAGATTTTATGTAGATATGCGTATATATGAAAAATATAAACAATTTAATGCAAACAGTCATTTCACCATATGAGAAACAATTATAACCATCCTAACAACGAATAAGACAAGTAAATAAATTAATAAACATGTATACATAGGACACTTTGGTAGTTGTTTGATTACACAAATAGATTGAGTGCTAGTTAGACATATATCTAGCCAGACAACACCAGACAGAACAAAGTTTAGATGTTTTGCCGCTGCAGAAAAGTATCCTTTCATTTAAATTTTACTTGTCAAATTGCCCTCCGTAGCGGCAGAACCCAAATGAATGCTGGTGGTCATCAAACACATTAGGTCTATAGATAGACTTGAATTGTCATTAATGCTTCGTCGAATGGCATAGTTCAGCATTACTTTTGACCTGACATGTGACCTTCTGCCTACGATTCTGACAATTTGTTCACATTCTTATGGTGCAGATCCTTTCTCAACTGTTCACGGCTGCTTTGTTAACGAAAGAAACTATTTTCCTAATTACTACACTTTTCACAGACTATATTCCTTTGCTAAAGGAGATATATACTTGCTCATTTTACTTCGACGAATACACACAGACGAAGACACACTCTCACAGATGTGCACAATTCTGCTAGCTCAAGACTCTTGAAGAAGATTGCCCCAATCTCAACACTTCTCCCGAGCCTGATAAACGAGCAAAAAGGTCTATTTTGGAGTTTTGGGTAATCTCATCCAATACAGTCGTTACGGAAATGAGTAAAGCCAGCCTCAGGAAGCGCATGGGAGGTAACGAGAGCATGGTTACAGAGATGGAGATGGACGTGATCCCCTGCCGGGCTGAAGCCATGGTGACAACAAAGAGTTCCGCGAAGAGATCAGATCGACGGAGTGACGAGGAGACAGCTGACTCGGCTGAGGATTCAGAAAATGTAGCAGTGTGCCCCATGAAGGATGATCGGTTGTCAGGACGCAAGAGGAGTAGCAGTGCTGATGCCTGCAAAGTGTATCGGGATGTAAAGTAAGCAGTTCGTCTGTTTGTGCTCTCCCCCCTGTCTTCTTCACGGTAAGTCTTCTACTTACTTGGCTGATTGATGTCCGACAAAGCCTTATCATCTATCAAGTCTTGGTAACAATATTTCGGCCTGCCTTGATATACATGCATGGCTTGACTTGAGTTTAAGCACTTTTCTGGTAAACACCTGTGGGGCAGGGGTGGGCAAGTAAAACTGTATCAGTCTGGTAATAATAATAGAGTAGTATTTGTAACAGTAGCAGTTGAAAAGACTAGTAAAAAGGCGAAATACATCCGCTCTAAGGATTTATTTTTTACCAATTTATGATGACCCAGACCTTAGATGGAATAAATTGTGGACATGCTATTGCTATGAACTTTTGCGGGCTAATGTAAATGACGGCCATTTCAAAAGTGATGCTTGTAAGTGCATCAGCTGGAGGTCCTGAGCATGCATGAAGATACGTATAAATGAATAGAGCTGGGTTTTGAAGGATCCTTTAGTGATTTGATGTGACATGACCTCTTATTTCAAAAGGAGAGTTGGTTGGAAGAAATTTGTGTATTTTTCTCTTCGGTAACTGTAGGAAGATTACTTTTTACTTTACTTATTGTATCTAGTGCACTTTTTCCATAGAGCATGGTTTATCGCTCTAACAATATCTGTCACATTGCAACCAAGAGGATCATCGGGTGAACCGATGACATTTTTGCACAATTGAACAATCTTGACACAAAGACACGTAAGAACAATTCAAGAATTCCCTCCAGCCAACTTTTTCTTCGAAATAAAATGTCCTGTCATGATGGGGTACGTGTTTACTGGCTAGAAGAGAACGTTGAAGTAAAGCTGGCAAACTGTTGAAAGCACTCCTCCAGGACCTCGACCCAAGAAGACTCTTTTAATAAAACGGAAGTGAATGAGATGTAAATAAGCCATATGGCTAAAGATTTTTGAGTAATGAGCAATCCTGAGGGAAGAGACAGATGCTTAGGTATAATACACAATATACTGAATTTATTAGTGAATTTTGAATGAAAATTCAAGTAATTCTAGCTCCTACAATATGAAGTAAGGGCTGAAAGTTGAATTTCAAACAATGGGATGAGCAAACCCAATGATTCCATTGAATTTTACTTAGCCTAGTCTCTCTAAAGACTAAGCTGGAATGAAGTTTCGACCTTGTTCGCCATATCGGCATCCGCAATGGTATTCAAACTACCATATACTTTGATGAATGCCCCGGCATACATCAAAATACGGCAAAAATCTGCAACTAGACGAGCTAGTCTAGCCAAACAAAGTCTGAAATAATATATGAATTTAATTTGGTTTCTTTTGATTTATTTCGATTAGCTTTTTTCTTCCTGATTCAGCAGGTATTCTTAAGCTTGTGCAAACCCAAAGATAACAAAAAGCCTATTCTTATTGGCGAAACAGAATTGAAATTTGATGAAGCTCCCGGTTCATCATTTTTTAACTCCCTTATATTTCAAGCGAAAATGTAGGATGAAGAGAATCATAGGCCAATCCCATCAGAAGACCACAGTGGATTCCCCATAACCACTTTTTGGTGGTTATGTATGAAGAGAAATGAACACTTTTTTCAGTCGCTCCTTCATTTAGAGAATTTTTATACCCTTTTTCTAGATCAGGCTGTTACAATGTTTTGTGCTCATGTAGTAAGGCCTATGTGGAATAGACCTTCCGACTAATTCACAAGAGAAAATGTGAACACAAAACCGCTTGCAAAGATCTGTGGGTCCAAACAGCTGAGTTCGCTGAGCACATAGCCAATACAGGAGAATCAATAGACTGGTCAAAAACACAACGTTTTTCGGGTTACGGAGACTTTACGTCAAAGCGTAAGATTAGGGAGCCTATAGAAATTAACATAACAGCCAACGTTATGAATATGAGGAACGAGGGCCGAAAACTAATTAGGAACCTTTTGTGGCTGTTGGATAGACTTAAGGGGTGCAGGAAAAGACTCTGAACAGGAGCAGGAGGCTGGATTAGTCTCGAGTCCAGCTAGGACTATCCAATTTCCCATGACATGAGCATTACATACAC